GAGCACATAAAACCAGATTTTAGCTTTCATGTTACTTGCAGTATATTGCAAAAGAAAAATGCAAGGGAACTACAAAATATCAGTTACAGTCTTCATTCTCCACGGAAACATGTGTGACTATAATATGAAATAAAATCACCACAAGGTAAAATTTCCTAATTTTATTATTAAATAGTTTTCAATGTAAAAACATTTAAATCCATAGTTTTATACATTCGATGTAACAATAAGATAACATTAGTACTAAAGCACCTGAAAAATGAGCTACATAAAATTTACAATTTATATAAATTACTAATCTACATGTTGCAGAACTTAACAATCAATATTTATTTCAAAATACCAGCATACATTTTAAAATTCATTTGTGGGGCGCCTGGGTGGCTCAGTTGGCTAAGCGTCTGCCTTCAGCTCAGGTCATGATCTCGGGGTCCTCGGATCAAGCCCTGCATCGGACTCCCTGATCAGCGGGGAGTCTGCTTCTCCCTCTCCCTCTCCCTCTGCCCCTCCCCCCCGCTGTGCTCTCGCTCTCTCTCGACTTCTCTCTCTCAATGAATAGATAAAATCTTTAAAAAAAATTCAATTGTAATAGTGATACATACATAGCAACTGTATGAAAAAAAGAAAAAGAAAGCAAAACCAAAAGACCATTTGGTGGGAAATAACAGTTTATAAAACCCTTGCCTTATTACACTATTGATCTTACTGGCAGGTAAAGTCCTAAAAATTCAAAAGGAAGAAGGTTCTTTGAATATTTTTACCCAAAGATTTCCACATATAAGTCACATTTAGAACTTTTTTAATGAGATATTTCTATACCTCATAAATACAAAAATCTCCAAAAATAGGACAAGCTATGAGGCAGAGTTAAAATCTCTTAGCGAGAAGCAAAAGCAGAAATGTAAAAAAAAATAAAAATAAATCCTAGAACACCACTTAATTAAAATGGAGGCTAAGACAACAAATAAGCCACCAACAAATAAAGCCAATACGTGATGGCACATAAGTGAAATTCCCTGACAAATATTTTCCTTTTCAGGTTTTAGTGACACAATTAAGCATAGAAGGTCACTGTGAGGCGTCCCCGGGCAGTGCATCTCTCGTGTCCTCCATCATTCAAGGTGCTTGCTACACACCCACTTCAGAACAAAACCAAGACCCTACTAAACCAAGAAGTGACTACAATAAGACTGCAACACACCTCACTTTACTTTTGGGAAAAATCGTTTAAGATACTTTATCAATTTCCTTAAAATGGGGAAACTCACAGTGACTGCATGACAATCTGAAAGGTGTTCCTGCTCAATTCGGTTGTATGGGAGGGGAAAAAAGTTCCTATCAAGGAACAGCAAAGATGGGAAAGTGTTATGCAAGGTGAGAGAGGTCATTCTCAAAGGGCAAATGATTCCATTCATCTGACATTTTAGAAGAGACAAACTATAGGAATGGAGAATAGACGGGTAGTTGCCAGAGGTAAGAGGTGTGACTATAATACAGGGGCTTTTTTGGGGTGATGGAATATAAAATTCATAGAATTGTACCATCCCCCAAAAGGAGTCAATTTTACTGTATAATCTTAAAAGTAAATAAATAGTTTTTTAAAAAATGGGGACGCTAACTGACTCTCCAACCTCTCCAAGGTAAGGAAGACCTATTCATCGGACCCTAAGCAACCAGACAGCATGTAGAAGGTACAGAACAGCAGGTGAGGGCATGAGTTCTGTGGCCACGATGCCTGGCCTCTGAGCCCAGCTCTGCCACTTACTGGCTAGGTGACCCTGGGTATATCACTTCACCTCTTACTGCCTTTCTTTCCTCATCTGAAAATGGGAGATATGCTGAGAAGATTAATTCAGTTAATCCAGGCAAACCTCTTACCAGGGTCTGGTGCCTCAAAAGATCTAAAAAGAAAAGTTAACATCAGAATATAAACTCCATGAGGTCGGAGACTGTGTGTGTCTATTCATGACATTCCCAGTGCCTAGAACAGTGCCTGGAACATGGTGGTGACTCAATATTGAATGAATGTGAAGAGAAAGCTATATACAGTCCAATACCAAGTTGACAAGATCCTGAGGGTTCACAGTTTTGGATTATGTGCACTACTATAATTGCCTTCCCTGACATGACTAATGAGGAGGTGGCTCTTTGGGACAGATAAAAACTCATGCCTTCCATCTCAGCAATGGGCTTCTTAGTGAGGAGATCTAGGTACATGTCTATTTCTGCTTCAAAATATGAAAAAAGGAAGTCTTTAATACAATCAGTTTCATATCCAAACCTTAGTTTTCATTGGAAAAGACATTCCTGAGAAGGTTTATAAAAACTAGCTTTTATGTACAGGTAAACGTCCTTTTAAAATTCTGGTAGAAGTTTTCATGAATGAAGAAATCTCTGTCAAATGAAGACTCTGTGCATATGAGTAATCACTCTTTTATTATACATCACATGTGTATTTTCTTAACTATACATATTAAAGTACAAGTTCTACATATCACCTTTTCCTATACGTTTTTTCCCCATTCCCAATGACTTACTCCCACTATAACAAATTACACCCAACAGCTCTCAAACAGCTCAGACGCTGTGAGTCTAGGTGCTGCCAAACCAAGCACTAGATGCTTTGAACCCTAGAGTCTCTGACATTAAACCTAATAAACTTAGCTTAAATTTTAACAGCTTGACAGAGAAGTAGCTTCAAGGCTTACAGCAAGCATCTTACCAAGTCGGCCACCCTGCACAAGGAATCCGAAAGCTCGTCGAAAATGAGCACAGTCTGGGGCCCAGGTGGCATGGAACACACGCGCTCCACGAGCAAGTCCGCCTTTCTCAGGGCGTTTTCTTGTGCAATCCGAAATCCTTCTGGGGCGCTGAACTCAGGAACTCCAAAAAGACCCTGCAATCCAGACAATATTTCCAATGTGTAACTAAAAATATGATTTTTTGGTATTAAGTCCTTTTTTCATAAAGGAAATCTTGGTTTTCGTTGGTGTATCCTATCATTATAAGACTTGTGATCACAGACACCATGTTCACATTCCCCGCATCATTCCACATAAATTAAACTACGAATATTTTAAGAATGGAATTTTTAATTTTTAATTATTTCATAAAAAAACAAAAATAGAATGATAAAGGTTCAACATCCAGCTTAGCCACTTTGTAGATGACTAACATGTTGATTTTTTGAAAACAGCAAGAGGTCAAACTTTCAGGACTGATAAGGCCTACTGTTTCTGCAAGAAGGGATGCATGAAATTAACGTCTTTTCAAAATGATTAAGAAGTTGAAGAAAAGGCAGTTGCAGGCAGAGCAGAATTGGGACCAAAACCAAATTAGATTCTTTACACTGATTTAATTTGATTCAAGTACAGACTATTTTTCATTTCCCAACACACCTCCTCATACTGGAGGATGGGAATTCTAAACCTCAGACTACTAGTTATGGTAATGACAAAAAACTACATAAACCTTTGGGGTTTTTTGTTGTTCTTTAATCAAAAACCAATTCACACGTTTGAAAATCTGTTATCAGTTCTAAAATCATGATATACAAAAGAAAAATAAAGCTAAAATTGGTTATATTTCATCCACCCAAAACCAAGCTTACTTTTTTCATCTTTCTACTCAGTACCTATAGGCAGTCGTTCTCCTCCTCACCCTAATTATGTTAAAACCATATTGTTATTTACCCATAGGGAAGTTGGTGTAGCAAATTTCATACAAAAGTATTTTTAAAACAAAGCTAATGACAGAGATCAAATAAGAAAACACATCACTAGGCTCGGTGTAACCAAGTCCTAGACTCTTTATAAGAAAGGCAATGTTATAAATAATGAAAAAATGAAACAGGCAAAAATAAAAGTAACAACCTGAAGTGGATAAAACCCGCAAATGCAAAGTAGAACGGGCATCAGGTAAGTCCCTTTCAAGCTCGCCCTCCTTTCACCTTTAATCAACTCAATAAACACTGAGTGCCCAGGGAATGCCAGATACCATACTAGGTGTGTGGAGATAGAAAATAAAGAGCAACCAAAGAATTCAGTCAGTGACTTCCCGGGGGAAGAAATCAACGTGATCAGTGTCATCGCATTATAGGAAATTAGACTGTTCTCAACGGTTTTGTGTTTTAAAGCAAAAGAGCCCAAAACTTGGGGAAAAATTAAGAACGGAATTTCGAGCATCAATGGAATGAGTAACTACAAGATTAGATCCCCCTACGAACTGCAGGGCAAGGCCTCCAATGCTCAAGCGTAGGGTTGGAGCAAAAGTGAACTTTAGCGGGGATTGGTCTGAGTGTGAGGCGAGGGCGGGACCCTCCAGGCGGAATTCACCGCCACCCGCGAGATGGACTATTTTGAGTTCACGTGGCGCAGGGGCGCACGAAGAGGCAGGTCCTGGGGCCCACACTCTGGGGACAGGACCAACAAAGGCCGCCCCGCTTCCTTAAACCAGCCCCTCAAAGGGGAGGTGACGGACAAGGTCACCAAGAGCGCAAACGACACCCTACCGTACAAAGTGGGTTCGCTGCCCGGCTCCTCCCAGACCCAAAGGACCCCTTCCAGATCCCTGCCGGCCACTCGGAGAAAGGACCGGCTTATGTCGGGGGGACAAGGGGAGCTCCCTCCCGCGCCGCTCACCCGGCGCTCGCCGAACAGGTCCAGACGGCGACCCTGGGGCTTGACATTGAAGGCGGCGCCCACCGGGGACCAGCTGGTGCTGACCTCTCGGGCCCGGACCCCGGGTCCGACGCCGCCCAGGCCCGCTCGCCCCGGCCATAGAGCCGCTGCCCGGAGTCCGAGCCCCCCCAGCCTCCAGGCGTATAGCATCTTGATCCCAGAGCAGCCCCTTCCCACGCCGCGAGGCCCCGCCCCTGCACCGCAGCTCCCGCCGCGAGCACGCGCGCCACGTTTCCAAGGCACCGGCCCACGCCACGCCACGTGACGCCAGCGCTTCCGGGTCGGGGCCCGAGGCCCTCAGGACGTGAGCACGTCGGCGTCCAGAGGGCAAAAGCGTCGCCCCGCCGCTTCACGGCAGACGCTGCGGTCTTGCGCCCCCGTGTGCCTGGAGTAAGGACCCGCGGAGGTTTAATTCGTCCCTCCCACGTGACTCGAGCGGGACGGACAGTCTCGCTGCAGGGTGAGTTCTTCCAGGAGGAGCAGTGAACGCTCAGTGAACGGCGCCTGAGTGCCTTCCCCGACGGGACAGGGCTGGGGACACTCGTCGACTCTATCGGACTCCACTCTAAACGATGGCTGAAATTAAATAGACGGTGTGGCTGCACCGTATGGTTGTGTGGAACCGACTCCACTACCTATCAGTGAATCTTCCTTTATTTTGACTTGTAAATTTTGTTCTAATAATCTACAATATAAATTTGTAGAGGGAGGGTTTCGCAACCTTCACTCAACCATAGGGGAATGAGAAGATTTGGGGGCAGGAGGCGGAGAGGGAATTGTGATTTGGGGCTTAGGATGGCCAGTGTGGAAAAGGGCCGGGGACTCTGGACAGCCTTAGCCTCCCCTAAATGAATGGAAATTACGCCGCAGTTGGAGCCAGGGCCAGGTTCTTGTCCAGGGTGGGAGGCTTAACCTGGCTCAACTTCAACATCTTCCTCTGCAGAAGGAATCGTGCGAGGTGCCTGCCTCCGCTACCTTCCTGAAGTGCATGCAGATTAAATGAAAGGGTTTAGTTGATAGTAAGGTGTTTTTCTTTTGAGAGACTTCTGTAGGTGGAGAGTGGAAAAAATCAGTAGTTGGGAGAAGGGACTGAGGGGAAGTGAGGCCGCCGAAGCAACCCTCACATTTGCCTGGCCGTCTCACTCCACGCACCTGCCACTTCTTGGGCTCTCACTTTCAGGGTTGAGCGGGATGCTGCGGAATGGCGAATCCACATGGGATGGGCCCCTTGAGAATTGATCCTCCTGCAGACGTGAAGCCAGGTGTGTGGGTATGAGAAGAACCGCCCCCTCCCCCCACCCAGGGAAGTAAACAAGGGAGGGCTGGCTACTGCAGCCTCCAGCCAGCTCCTCAAAATACTGCTCTCCACCTGTTTTTGTTTGTTTTGTTTTTTTAAAGTGGGCTCCACACCCACGGTGGAGCCCAGTGCAGGTCCAAACTCACAACCCTGAGATCAAGACCTGAGCCGAGATCAAGAGTTCGATGCTTCACCCGCTGAGCCAGCCAGGCACCCTTCTCTGCCTAGGTTTTATGCAGGAACTAGATACCAAGTGATTCTGTTAAATCAGTGTCTGAGTGCAGAGGGCATTGATGGCTGTGGTCTTCTGACCACAGGAGGTTGATTCCTTTGCCTTGGGTGTCAGAGGTGTGACTTGTGCAGTGGACCAAGAACCCAAGTGAACCTTTTTGTTCCCGGGCAATCCACAGTCACGTTTTCTTAAATTGCTTTATTTGAAGTCATTCCAGACCTTTATCTCACCTGAATGTTTGGGCTTAGGGTAAAGCTGTGTTCATTTTAACATTGCCTGTTGGGTTTGAGCAGTCCTCAGAACCTCCTGGAAAGTTCCAGAGAGCCAAAAGTTAAGGCCAGGAGTGGCACATGCTTCCTATAGATAGCTTCTAACCCCCCTCCCTCTCTCCACACCCCCCCAAAAAAAAGTTTCAAATGGAGTTTGTTTTCAGTTTAGCCTGGCAGAGAGGAAAAGCCCAATTGATTGTATGGTAAGTTATGATTTCATTTTCTACTGATTTTTTAAATGAAATATTTTAAATGATTTAAAGTCCCTGAGTCCCTACCTCCATGGTGATTAATATCTATCACATTATTGGTAACTGGTTGGTTCTTAGGGCAGCCACACCACATGACAGACCTAATGCCTGTGTAGCAGACCCTTACAAAGATGTCAGATGTGTCGTGTAAAAAAGAAAATTCATCAATATATTTGACAAAAACCCTTACATATTTTTTTTCTGAGAGCCTTCCTTTAGCCCAGAATGGTTGTCATACAAGGATACCTAACCATTGTAATGCAACATTTAAGCCTAAAATTGTCCTCAGGGGATAATGATTTGTCCTAAATTAACAAGGTATCCGGTGTCTCAGAGAGCCTGGCATAGTTAGACTTTCAAAAACTGCAGTCCAGATTCATCGACAACCAATGAAAAACCATCCCAAATGGCAGATTAGACACACCCAATCCCTGCCAGTCAACTTCATCTTTTTGAAATCCTTAAAATATGTTTTACATCTCATCTTCTATATTTGACCTAAAAAAAAAAATTTTTTTTATAAAAGCTGGTATCCTCTGTACAATCGTAAATGTGTTTTTTCTTCACGTCTATCTCAACCTATAAAGTTGTGATCCTAAATAGAAAGGAGTGAGCACAGGTATTCTTCGTATTCAGTCCATAACAAAACCAGGCTTTACACTGGGGAGAAATAGCTTAGATTATTACAATTCCAAAAAGCCACAGAAGCCAAAGAATAAGGACACTCTGGCTCAATAAATAAAGTGATCAGTCATGCTACAGCTGAGCATAAGTAGGGCAGCAAGGCAGATGCAGGGACTGGGCTGCAAAATTGAAGGAGACACTCAACTGTCAGGGTCATGCACAGGCTGTGTCAGCACCTGAAGGGGGGGTGCCTCCTTCAGTGTCACACCCTGGGTGCCTCACTTGCTTCCCCCCAGTCCTGGCTCTGTTCTAGAAGAAACAAGTTAAGGAAGGCCAATAAAATACCTATAAACAAATTATTTTTGTATCTTTCCAACATTTTCCACAACCAAGTAATTTTTCAATATTTCATTTACAGCAGTGCTGTAATGTTCATAATGTTAATTTACAAAAGTCTCATTTTTCCGAGGGAATGAAGATATCATCACAACTGTGTAGACTTGGTTGGAGTATGGATAGAATGGCTTGAAGTCCCAATTTCTAGAGGCACATCCTGTCAGACAAACTGGCCCAGGATGTGATTTGGAAAATAGTGTAGCTTGAATATGCAGTGAGCTTGCAGCCTTTTGCTTCTTTATTAGTTGCTCTTAATTAATAGATAAGTAGAAAAGTATACTGAGTTAACTTAGGCATATGTAATCCTTCCAGAATTTTAGAGGCTTGGGACCATATGAAATTATTCCATTCCAGCACTGCTGTACAGTAGGAGACAGGAGCACAGAAAAGCTGAATAAGGTACCCATTTCACATTCCTTTGTCATGGCTGGAACAACCACCCATACACTTCAACTCTTAGTCTTGGGCTTTTTTCTCTACAATCATGCTGCCCCTCTCCTTGGGCCATTGACTACTTACTACTGCTTTTGTCCAAAAGAGTATTAACAATAACAATAAAAACCCTGCATCAGAGTGGCTCATGCAATACAATAGTCCAGAGGTATCTCTGCCTTCAGGAACAGCTGGGTGTAGGGGTCTAAACAATGTCCTGGATTATCTCCAGCCCTGTTTGATTTTGTTTGGGGGCTCAACAGATTAGCTAAATGCATGCCAGCTGAAGTTCTAGCTTCACCTGAAGAAGATCTTGCCTTTTTTTTTTCCCCAATAGGCCTTCCAGAGTTGCAGATTACATCTCATTGGCTCTGATTGATAAGGCGCCATTTTGGAAATAGTCACTGTGGCCAGAAGAAGGTGCTGTTCTTATTAGCCAGGCCTGAATCTCACATCCATCGCAGAGTGTAGAGTATACACCGTTTGAAAGACTTGTCTGAAAGTGCACACCAGGATGCTTTTACCAGACGAGAGGGAAGTGGATGGGACGCGTCTGACCAAGAAATACCTGCGGTGGCCTAAAAGGCAAGTTTCTTTTCACCCCACTTTCTTAGTAAATTCATCTCCATCCTACACTTTCCTTTGTAACTGTTTGGTGTCTCTGTCCAGTAACCTCTTCCTTTTGCATAGCTCATTTAAAAATTTTATAAGGTAAATAGTGAAAAACATCTAATGGAATTCGCCTTGCGAAAGGGTTTTGGTCTCCTTTAAGACCTGTGATCCCTTTTTTTTTCCTTCCTTTTTCTCCCTTTTGGAATGGGACTGTCTATCCTGTGCCTTTCCCACCATTGTATTTTGGAAGCAAATAATGTGTCTGGTTTTGCAGTTTCACAGAGGGAGAGGGATTTCGCCCCAGGATGTGTCACACAATAGATCTTACTTATAACTGACATAAAGGATTTAGATGATGAGATTGGGGACTTTGAGCTGGTGATTTTTAGATGAGATTCTTAGAGTTAGCATTGATGCTGACATTGTTAAGACTGTGGGGGATGTGGGTTGGGGAGAGTGTATTCGGCACTGGGGAAGATCGTGAATTTGGGGGGACCAGAGCAGTCTATTACAGGTTGAACGGTGTCTCCCAAACAGATACATCCAAGTCCTAACCTTTGGTTTCTATGATTGTGACTATTTGGACTCAGGGTCTTTGCAGATGTAATCAGGTTAAAATGAGGTCATAGTAGATTAGGGTGGTCCCTATTCCAAATGACTGGTGTCCTTATCAGAAGAGGGATGCTTGCACACAGGCAGACATGGAGGGAAGACTGCCATGTGCAGATCGGGGTAGAGCTGGATGCTTCCACAAGCCGGGGAATGCCTGGGTCCACCAAAAGCTGGAAGCAGCAAGGTAGAACCCTCCTCAGAGGCTTCTGAGGGAGACTGGTGCTGCTGACACCTTGATTTTAGACTTCTAGCCTCCAGCCCTGTGAGATAATCACTTTCTGTTATTTTAAATTCCCCAGTTTGTGGTACTTTGTTACGGCAGTCCCAGGAACCGAGCACAGATTCAAGAACTATTTGTTGAGCTGAATGATGATTAAAACCTAGGTTACAAAATAAGCAAAGTATTCCGCAGCTTTCTGGGATGTCTCGTCATCACCTGCTTACAACTTTTATTAGCTACCAAGTAGAATGAACATTGGAACACTTCCCTCTCCTTTCTCCCAGTGTCCTTAGAAATTCAGATGAGGGATAAGTCCTGACACACCTCCTTCAAGCACTAAAATGACATCAGAACACGGGTCCCGCAAGAAACATACATGCAAAGCACTTTTCAGATGAGGGGAATGATGAAAAATTGTAAATAAATTATAATAAACAATACAAGCATTAAGATTTTATTTATTTATATGATTTTTATTTTATTTTTTAAAAGTAATCTGTGCACCCAATGTGGGGTTCCAACTCATGGCCCCAAAATCGAGAGTTGCATGCTTTACCAATTGACCCAGCCAGGCGCCCCCAGATTTTATTTTTAAGTGATCTCTACACCCAACATGGGGCTCGAACTCACGACCCTGAGATCAAGAGTCACATGCTCCACCGACTGAGCCAGCCAGGCGCCCCAATGCAAGCATTTTTAAACTTACTGTTGGAGACAATAATATAAGTCACATAAAATCAGCTTTGGGAATAACTGTCGTATTGTTGCCCCTCTATGATTATTACAATAATGAGAATGATTCATAGAGCAGAATCATCTGAGAACATGTCCAGCAAGCCAGCTCCGAGGGGTGGGGAGGCAGGTCCCTACACACCTCCCCATCACTGGCTGCTGAACAGAAGGAAGCCTGTGAAAGTCGTGTCATCGTCCTCATCTGCAAACAAGCCGTTAAACCTCTCCCCTCCTGTGGCCTGCATCCACACCTCGTCCCCCAGCTTCAGCGGCAGCACCATGCCACCCGATGCCTGGTCCTCAGAGCTCATGTAACCGTCCTTGGTGTTCAGTATTTTCACCCCATTTTTGACCAAAGATACCTGAACATTCCTGGAGAAAACTGTGATGTGGTAGGTGAAGTAATAGACCCCGGTAATGTGGCAAGTGAACTTCCCCGTGGCTATGTCGTAATGATTGAACTCATTATACAGGATCTTATCAAATTTAATGGGCACATCTGAAGTAGGAAACTTGCTCAGTACCGTGAGCCCCACTGTGAAAGCACTCTTGGGCAAGACTGGAGTCTCGCCAGTTTTCCCTTTCTCGCCTCGGTCCCCTTTCCAGCCTCTCATTCCCCGGACTCCTGGATCTCCCTGGGGTCCCAAGGGCCCAACATCTCCCTTGGGTCCAGGCTTCCCAATGGGGCCCATGGGGCCAGGTAGACCCATTGGGCCTGAAGGCCCACTGCTGCCTTTTAGCCCTTCTGGGCCGGTGGGCCCCACACTGCCTTTATCCCCCTTTTGCCCTTGAGGGCCAGTCTCTCCCCTGAGGCCCTTCTCTCCCATGGGACCAACAAATCCCTTTGGCCCATGTTTCCCTGGGGGTCCTTGTGAGCCTTGATCACCTTTGACGCCTTTGGCTTCAACTTTTCCATCTGCTCCTAGGTGGAAAAAGAGAGAATAAAGGAAAAGATGATTTGTGAAACATCAACTTCTAAAACTAACTTTGGCTTTTCCATTGGTGAGCATACATATGAAATAAAGCAGTGCCCAGTATCAGTAGATGCTCGGGGTCTGAACATTAATTTACTCCTAAATTGAGTGCACAGCATACATACACACACGTGTGTGGCTGCAAAACACCTTCTGACTCCTGTCTACTGTGTTAGTGTTGGGGTTCACATTAGAAATTACAGCTCTTTACCATCACAGCCTAGTCTTTGACCACTAAGCAATGCCAAGCCTTGAGAACACATCTTTGGAAGAGGGAAGACCGTCCAAAGGCAGATGAACTCAGGCTGCTTTCAGTTAACTGACAACTCAGCCCCAGTTCTGTGACATCCCCTACAAAGCTGCTCACGGGAGTGAGCACAGAATAAAGTCTTCCTAAAGTGTGGCAGTCACTGCTCTCTGCTGCCCACTCTATCGACTGTCTCACGCTGGTCCTCACTGCGCACACGTTCTCGGTGCTTCCCTGTCTACTCCTCCCCGACTGGACAGCAGTGGTTATGAGCACAGAGTCCGGAGTTAAATGCCAGGATTCCATCCTGCCTCCTCTACGGAGGCACAATGCGATGTTAGGCAAGCTGATGAGCCACCTACACCTCTGTTCCCTCGTCTGTAAAATTGGGATAATGATACTACCTCATGTATAGCCTGTCATATTGAGTCAGTACGTGAAAAGCACTTAGAACACCCTAGCACAAAGTGAGCATTATTTGTGTTTGCTCTTGTGACTATTCTCTCTCCCCATCAGTCGCAACTACCGGAGCCCTCTTTACCCCTCAGGGCCCAATTCCAGTGCCACCTTCTCCATGCAGTCTTGCCAGAAGCCCTGAGTCGGAATTTAATGTCACTCCTCAATCTTCATCCACTAACCCAGGCTTCAGCAAACCATGGCCCGTGAGCCAAATCCAGCCTCCCACCTGTTTGTATGGCCCACAAGCTAAGAATGGTTTGCATTTTTAAATGGTCACAAATAATATTCGACAATACATGAAAATTATATAAGATTCAGATTTCAGTTTTCATAGAGTTTCACTAGAACACAGCCCCGCTTACTTATGTAGCATCCTTGGCTGCTTTTCATGACAGTTGTGCCCGAGACCGCATGGCCTGAGAAGCTGAAATTACTTACAGTCTTTCCCTTTACAGAAAAAGAATCACAAGCTCCTGGAGAGCAAGAGCCATGTTGCCCTATTGTTAGATCGTCCTCAGAGCCTAGCAAAGGACTTGTCCTTGGTGAGCACCAAATGGTTATTAAGTCATCGGTGGCTCAGAATTAGAGCATGGTAAAATGGAACGCAATTTCTGACCTCGCTCTCCTTTCTGTCCATTCATTCCATCCTTCCCTGGACCACCAGGATGTCCTGGTTCTCCTAGGTGGAAGAGAAGAAAACAGACAAGAGTTAAAATTCCAATTCCACATTTCCTAGACATTGGTCTCAATCGGGGGTGTAGACCAGAGAGTCCTGGGTGTGTGCCCGGCCCTGACACACACACTGCCCCTCACAGAAGGCAGTCGTAAGTGAGCACCAGGGGTGTGGAGTTGTGTATAAGAAGTGAATTATGAGATGAACTGGGTGGACCTCCCAAGCATCCAGCTCTGGGAAGGCAGAACAGGAAAGGAATATGTGCACAGATGATCACAATTACATCTTTCTCTTGTGAGGGTAACTCGGGTAGTGACTGATCATTGGAGGTACTGGGTGGCCTTCTCACTTCTCCTTTTCTGTCACTCTTGCATAGAGTGGAATGGAAGGTTCACTAGCCTCCTATAAAAACACAGATGATTATGGTTACGTGGCAATATTTGGGATGGAAGGGAGGATTCTGGAAGGATCCAGCACTTTAGAGTGGTAGTAAATGTCACTGATCAAGTTGCCATGGCAGACGCCATTGGGAACATCAGGCGAGTGAGGTTTTGCCTACCACACATCAGTTTTGAACTCAGAGCAGGCAACCCTGAGCTCCAACTTCCCATGTTATAAGTTAACATCTCTAGAATCAAAGGCAGTTCTTGCTGTAAGGAAGGAGAGTGGAAGCAAAAGATGAAGGAGTCATGAAGTCAGAGTTGTATCCTGTGCATGTACACACACATATGCACACACGTGTGCACCCACATCCACACATACATGCACACTGTGGTCCCAGTAGGAGGCTAAAAGAATGGATTTCATTGACATTGAGGTTTTGCCATCAACTTGGACTGGGCTTTTTACTACCCAGAAATAAGACTGGTCCAATGCCAAAAAGTGGCGTGGACTCCCTGGAGATGTTACCCCTTGGAGATCCCCAGAGTAGATTTGCAGGGCAATGGTTGGAGAGATGGTTGGTGACCGTCTCCTTCATCCAGCCCAACGAACAAATCCCTTGGATCACCAAATGCCACAAACAGGGAAACACCTAGAAACACCTAGACTTTCTTTCATCTGTACAGCGGACTTCCCATAAGTAATTTGTTCTAATACTCATTTCTCCAGATTAACAAAGACTTTTTAAAAATCCATATGCCAACAGCATTTGCTGGCAAAGCACTAATTTTAGTCCATCTTGAAGTTGCTTTCTGTGTATTATTTCAACCACTGTTAATATAGCCAGAGGAATGTCTAATCTTCTGATACGATTATAAAATATCAAGAAGCCTTCTAAATGTTCATTATTAAGTTTAGTGAAGTTTTCATACTATAACGTATAGCTGAGGAAAAATGACAGTCGTTTGTGGTCAAATTCCACAAAGAGTCCTGAAATGTCTAATTGGGGGTGCTTCTATTAATAACTGACATCTCACAGTACAGTTTACAGTGAGGATGAGGTTCATCTTAATGAATATAAATGTAAATTCATATGTCCAGACTCCTAAAATTTCTAGGTTTTTGTCAGACTTCTTGTCAGATCTGATTAGTTCATCATTGATTTCTCCTACTCATGTACAGTTGAAGAGTTCACACTAAGACGACAGATGACAGCTCTCCTATTTTCATGGGATTCTTTAATGTTTGCATTATCAAGTCAACCTTCAATCTTCAGTTTCTCTGCAGAAGTATTTCAGGCACCCATCTGTTTGTGATAGTTTGATAGGACAATCTGAAAATCCCTTGGGCTGGGCCGTAACCACAATATGCCACAGTACACTGATGGACAGAGTGTGTGAGGGCACAGGACATATTTCAGGCCTCAAATGACACAGGTCCATCTGCAAAGGGACCAAGTGAAGCCACCCAAGCCAATTCACATATTAAATATTTTTAAAGCTCAATTTTTTTCTTCATCTAAATTTATCTTTTAAAATGTCAGTAGTAGGGGCGCCTGGGTACCTCAGTTGGTTAAGTGTCCGACTCTTGATTTTGGCTCAGGTCATGATCTCAGGGTCCTGGGATTGAGCCCCATGTTGGGCTCTGTGCTCAGCAGGGAGTCTGCTTGAGATTCTCTCTCTCTCTCTCCTTCTGCCCCTCCCCCACTGACTCATTTTCTCTAAGTAAATAAATCTTTAAAAATAAATAAATAAAATGTCAGTAGTAGTTTTGATGTTTTCTCTCTGCACTGAGATAGATCAGTCTGCGTATGTCTCAGGTATGTGACCCTATGGTGGACCCAGGCTCAAGAACCCCATTCAAGAACCAAGCCTATCAGTTCGTGTTATGGAAACCACTCACATATCCTGGCTTTTGCAAATCTCCTTCCTAGAGGCTGGATCCTGTCCCCAAATTCCCAAACCCTGGGGCAGGCCCCAACACAGGGCATACACACCTGAGTACCGCTGTGTGGCTTCAGTTACCGTCTACTTTTGTTTTCTCTGTCACTCCATGTCACCTGCCTCACTGCGTGACAAGGCATTAACTCTTCCCTGCACTGCAGCCGGGTGCTCTCTGCTAAATATTTAGCAGTCAGATTTCTCTATAGGCCCCGTGTGCCAAAGACCCACCATCCCTGCCATCTGAGGCAGAAACATCTATAACATCATATACTCCTGAAGACGGCCTGCAGTATCAGAGGTGATGGCTAACAGTTGTCCCCTCTAGATGAGGACGTCCGTGGAGGGGGGCCCTGTTGGTCTGCTCCTGCACTGTCGCCCAGAATCTGACCTGGAGCAGGATCTCGGCCACTGCTTTCTGGGCAAGGGCTGCACGAATGAAGGAGGGGGGAGCGGGCAGGTGATGGCTACACTCGTGATGAATGAATGAATGATCTCAGAGGAACAGAGGGGTAAACACAAGGGCAGCTGAAGGCCGCCCGGTGCTGAGTACCTGCCTCGCCCTTGTCGCCCTTTGCGCCATCTCGTCCATCTCTCCCAGGCAAACCATTGTGACCAGGATTCCCAGGGATGCCAGGGTGCCCTTGCCTGCACGTGTCCTGTGAGTTCACATTTCCCGTGCAGATTCCAGTGACAAGCAGGAGCAACCAGATCCTCATGGTTCAGATGACGGAGCTGAACTGCAAGAGGGAAACACAGACCAAAAGGAGAAGCCTTTGTTGCTGGGGCCACAGACACACCCTCTCTTCCTTGCTGTGGGACCTGGACCCAGCCTGAGTCAGCCTTGGACAGAATGGTCAGGGCAGATAAGGGCAGGACCTGGTAGCAGACAAGCTGCTTGCAATCAGAGAGCCATTGTTCAGGGACACCTGGGTGGCTCAGTTGGTTAAGCGTCGGCCTTCAGCTTGGGTCACGGTCCTGGAGTCTTGGGATTGAGCCCCGCATCGGGCTCCCTGCTCAGCGGGAAGCCTGCTTCTCCCTCTGCCTCTCCCCCATTTGTGCTCTCTAATAAATAAAATCTTAAAAAAAAAAAAAAGGAAGAAGAAGCAGAAGGCCATTGTTCTTGGAAGGAACACATGTGACCGGGACTGCTTTTAATGGTGAGTGGTCGAGGAGAAAGCCAAGTTCCAGGTCAGATACTTCCATTTATCACTCTACTTTGGGTAAACCACTTTTCAGAGCCAGAGAAGAGATTAATACCTGTCTCCCAGGACTGCTGTAAAAACCAAATTTGATCACAATGTGCATAAAGCACGTTTTCACTAGGAAAGCAAGCTCTGGCAGCTACTTGTACACCCGTGTTCATAGCAGCCTTATTCACAGTAGCCCGAAGTTGCAAACAACCCATGTGTCCACGGACACATGACTGGTTGTACAGAACGTGATATACACAGTGGACTATTACTCAGCCTTAAAAAGGAAGGAAATTCTGACACATCCTACACCAGGGATGAACTTAAGGACTTTATGCTAAGTGAAATCAGCCAGACACAATAGGACCAGTATGGTATGATTCCACTCGTATGAGGCCCCCAGAGTGGTCACATTCACAGAAACAGAAAGTAGAATGGTAGAGGCAGCATCCAGGGGAGGGGGACTGGGAGCTCATGTTCAAAGGGGACGGTTTCAGTTTGGGAAGATGAAAAAGTTCTGGAAGTGGATGGTGGGGACAGTTGAACAATGTGAACATCCTTAATGCCACTGAAGTGGACACTTAAAAATGGCTAAAGTGGTAAATTTTATGTCACGTCTGTTTTACCACAATAAAAAAAAAAATGGAATGAAAAAGTATAAATGTTCCAAGCAGTCCTACTATGATCAGATGTGTTCTTTGAGTTAAGCTTTTGTTTCTCTGGGAGACTGCTGCGAAGGGCACGCACACATGCACCGCAGGGCACCCCGTTTGTGAAGCACACTTGCACGTCCTCTCCCAAGTTCCTGATTTGCTTTCCAACCCCGTCAGGAACGAAGGCAGTGCTGCGTGGTGAAGTTTGCAGTGAGATCTGAAGGAGCAGAGCAGCTAATTAGACCAAGTGTTCTAGACAAAGGGAATACTCAGGCAAGACCCTAGGCTAGTGTGCACACAGGATTCAGGGACCCTCCCGACGACATCAAATCTCCCCAGGGAGGGGCATGGCATCCCTCTCTTTCATGACACCATAGTATGGGGTTGCATCTGTTCATGTCATTGTAGGGCTAAAAATCTGGCTCTCCATCTGACTGTGTTTTCCTTCTTATTGTATTCCAGTTCTCAGTATTAAGCCTGGAACCGTGTGTTAAATAAATATGTGTCAAATGAAATGAATGTGTGGTAGCAGGTATCTTAGGACATAGAAAAATAATAACACGAGGCTAGTGCAACAGGTCAGAACTCAGACTCTCATACAGTGCTGAAGGCAACGGACATCTGCCCAGGACTTCAGAAAGCTAAAGAGAAAAGACATCTTAAACCCAGTGATCTCATCCCGAAAATTCTTCTTAATAATCCAAAATCTGTGTGCTAACGATATTAACCACAGCATTATTTGTAATAGTGAAAAAGGGCGTACCACATAACGCGTAACAGTAAGTGGTTCATAAGTAGAATATCATGTAACCACTGTAATAATTATGTAGTTCATGTAGAAATATGTAAAAGATCTACGTTGTGTTGAATTTTCAAAAAGTAGACTAAAATGCATGTACGGGATGCCTGGGTGACTCAGTTGGTTAAGCGTCTGCCTTCAGCTCAGGTCATGATCCCAGAATCCTGGGATCCAGTCCTGCATCAGACTCCTTGCTTAGTGAAGAGCCTGCTTCTCCCCTGCTTGTGCTCTCTCTCTGACAAATAAATAAAATCTTTAAAAAAAAAAAATGCAGATCTATCCACAGAGACCTGGCAGGCCAGAAAAGACTGGCATGATATATCCAGAGCACTAAACGAGAAAAATATGCAGCCAAGAATATGATATCCAGCTAGGCTGTCATTGAAAATAGAAGGAGAGATAAAATCTTCCAGGACAAACAAAAATTAAGGGAATTTGCAAACACGAAACCAGCCCTACAAGAAATATTGAAAGGGGTCCTCTAAGCAAAGAGAGACCCTAAAAACAACATAGACCAGAAAGGAAAACAGCAATATACAGTAACAGTCACCTTACAGGCAATACAATGGCACTAAATTCCTATTTTTCAGTAGTTACCCTGAATGTAAATGGGCTAAATGCCCCAGACACAGGCTATCAGATTGGATTAAAAAACAAGACCCATCGATATGCTGTCTGCAAGAGACTCATTTTAGACCCAAAGACATCCCCAGATTGAAAGTGAGGGGGTGGAAAACCATTTACTATGCTAATGGACATCAAAAGAAAGCTGGGGTGGCATTCCTTATATCAGACAAATTAGATTTTAAGCCAAAGACTATAATAAGAGATGAGGAAGGACACTATATCCTACTTAAAGGTTCTAACAAGAAGATCTAACAATTGTAAATATCTATGCCCCTAACATGGGAGCGGCCAATTATATAAGGCAATAATAACAAAAGCAAAGAAACACATTGACAACAATACCATAATAGTGGGGGACTTTAACACCCCCCTCACTGAAATGGACAGATCATCTAAGCAAAAGATCAACAAGGAAATAAAGACTTTAAATGACACACTGGACCAAATGGACTTCACAGACATATTCAGAACATTCCATCCCAAAGCAACAGAATACACATTCTTCTCTAGTGCCCATGGAACATTCTCCAGAATAGATCACATCCTAGGTCACCAATCAGGTCTCAACCGGTACCAAAAGATTGGGATCATTCCCTGCCTATTTTCAGACCACAATGCTTTGAAACTAGAACTCAATCACAAGAGAAAAGTTGGAAAGAACTCAAATACATGGAGGCTAAAGAGCATCCTACTAAAGAATGAATGGGTCAACCAGGAAATTAAAGAAGAATTAAAAAAAATTCATGGAAACCAATGAAAATGAAAACACAACTGTTCAAAATCTTTGGGATGCAGCAAAGGCAGTCCTAAGAGGAAAATATATAGCAATACAAGCCTTTCTCAAGAAACAAGAAAGGTCTCAAGTACACAACCTAACCCTACACCTAAAGGAGCTAGAGAAAAAAACAGCAAATAAAGCGTAAACCCAGCAGGAGAAGAGAAATAATAAAGATCAGAGCAGAAATCAATGAAATAGAAACCAAAAGAACAGTAGAACAGATCAACGAAACTAGGAGCTGGTTCTTTGAAAGAATTAACAAGATTGATAAACCCCTGGCCAGACTTATCAAAAAGAAAAGAGAAATGACCCAAATCAACAAAATCATGAATGAAAGAGGAGAGATCACAACCAACACCAAAGAAATACAAACAATTATAAGAACATGTTATGAGCAACTCTATGCCAGCAAATTAGATAACCTGGAAGAGATGGATACATTCCTAGAGATGTATCAACTACCAAAACTGAACCAGGAAGAAATAGAAAACCTGAATAGACTTATAACCACTAAGGAAATTGAAGCAGTCATCAAAAATATCCCAACAAACAAGAACCCAGGGCCAGATGGCTTCCCAGGGGAATTCTACCAAACATTTAAAGAAGAATTAATACCCATTCTTCTGAAACTGTTCCAAAAAATAGAAATGGAAGGAAAACTTCCAAACTCGTTTTATGAGGCCACCATTACCTTGATCCCCAAACCAGAGAAAGACCCCATCAAAAAGGAGAATTACAGACCATATCCTTGATGAATATGGATGCAAAAATTCTCACCAAAATACTAGCCAATAGGATCCACAGTACATTAAAAGGATTATTCACCATGACCAAGTGGGATTTATCCCTGGGCTGCAAGGTTGGTTCAACATCCGCAAATCAATCAACGTGATACAATACATTAACAAAAGAAAGAACAAGAATCATATCATCCTCTCAATAGATGCAGAAAAAGCATTTGACAAAGTACAGCATCCTTTCATGATCAAAACTCTTCAGAGTATAGGGATAGAGGGTACAGACCTCAATATCGTAAAAGCTGTCTATGAAAAACCTACAGTGAATATCATTCTCAATGGGGAAAAACTGAGAGCTTTCCCCCTAAGGTCAGGAACACAGCAGGGATGCCCACTATCACCACTGCTATTCAACATAGTATTAGAAGTCCTAGCCTCAGCAATCAGACAACAAAAAGAAATCAAAGGCATCCAAATCGGCAAAGAAGAAGTCAAACTCTCACTCTTTGCAGATGATATGATACTTTATGTGGAAAACCCAAAAGACTCCCCCCCAAAACTGCTAGAACTCATAGAGGAATTCAGTCAACTGGCAGGATATAAAACCAATGCACAGAAATCAGTGGCATTCCTATACACCAACAACAAGACAGAAGAAAGAGAAATTAAGGAGTCGATCCCATTTACAACTGCACCCAAAACCATAAGATACCTAGGAATAAATCTAACCAAAGAGGCAAAGAATCTGTACTCAGAAAACTATAAAATACTCATGAAAGACATTGAGGAAGACACAAAGAAATGGAAAAATGTTCCATGCTCATGGATTGGAAGAACAAATATTGTGAGGATGTCAGTGCTACCTAGAGAAATCTACACATTCAATGCAATCCCCATCAAAATACCATCCACTTTTTTCAGAGAAATGGAACAAATAATCCTAAAACTTGTGTGGAACCAGAAAAGACCCCGAATAGCCAGAGGAATGTTGAAAAAGAAAAGCAAAGCTGGTGGCATCATAATTCCGGACTTCCAGCTCTATTACAAAGCTGTCATCATCAAGACAGTATGGTACTGGCACAAAAACAGGCACATAGATCAATGGAACAGAACAGAGAGCCCAGAAATGGACCCTCAACTGTATGGTCAACTCATCTTTGACAAAGCAGGAAAGAATGTCCAATGGAAAAAAGACAGTCTCTTCAACAAATGGTGTTGGGAAAATTGGACAGCCACAGAAGAGGCTTCTTCTTCATGCAGAAGAATGAAACTGGACCATTTCCTTACACCACACACAAAAACAGACTCTAAATGGTTGAAAGACCTAAATTTGAGACAGGAGTCCATCAACATTCTAAAGGAGAACACAGGCAGCAACCTCTTCGACCTCGGCTACAGCAACTGCTTCCTAGAAACATCACCAAAGGCAAGGGAAACAAGGGCAAAAATGAACTATTGGGATCTCATCAAGATAAAAAGCTTCTGCACAGCAAAAGAAACAGTCAACAAAACCAAAAGACAACCGACAGAATGGGAGAAGATACTTGCAAATGACATATCAGATAAAGGGCTAGTATCCAAAATCTTAGTATCCAAAATCTATAAAGAACTTCTTAAACTCAACACCCAAAGAACAAATGATCCAATCAAGAAATGGGCAGAAGACATGAACAGACATTTTTCCAAAGAAGACATCCAAATGGCCAAAAGACCCATGAAAAAGTGCTCAACATCGCTCGGCATCAGGGAAATTCAAATCAAAACCTCAATGAGATACCACCTCACACCAGTCAGAATGGCTAAAATTAACAAGTCAGGAAATGACAGATGTTGGCGGGGATGCGGAGAAAGGGGAACCCTCCTACACTGTTGGTGGGAATGCAAGCTGGTGCAACCACTCTGGAAAACAGTATGGAGGTTCCTCAAAAAGTTGAAAATAGAGCTACCATAGGATCCAGCCATTGCAGTACTGGGTATTTACCCAAAGATACAAATGTAGGGATCTGAAGGGGTACATGCACCCCGATGTTTATAGCAGCAATGTCCACAATAGCCGAACTGTGGAAAGAGCCAAGGTGTCCATCGACAGATGAATGGATAAAGAAGATGTGGTATATATATATATATATATATATATATATATATAATGGAATATTATGCAGCCATCAAAAGGAATGAGATCTTGCCATTTGCAACGATGTGGATGGAACTGGAGGGTGTTATGCTGAGCGAAATAAGTCAATCAGAGAAAGACAGGTATCGTATGACCTCACTGATATGAGGAATTCTTAATCTCAGAAAACTGAGGGTTGCTGGAGTGGGGGGTGGGGTGGGAAGGATGGGTGGCTGGGTGATAGACACTGGGGAGGGTATGTGCTATGGTGAGCACTGTGAATTGTGCAAGACTCTTGAATCACAGATCTGTACCTCTGAAACAAATAATGCAATATATGTTAAGGAAAAAAAAAAAGAAGATAACAGGAGGGGAAGAATAAAGGGGGGGATATCGGAGGGGGAAATGAACCATGAGAGACGATGGACTTTGTAAAACAAACTGAGGGTTCTAGAGGGGAGGGGGGTGGGAGGATGGGTTAGCCTGGTGATGGGTATTAAAGAGGGCACATTCTGCATGGAGTACTGGGTGTTACACGCAAACAATGAATCATGGAACACTACATCAAAAACTAACGATGTAATGTATAGTGATTAACATAACAATAAAAATTTTTTTTAAAAAATGCCATGCACATGATGAGGATACCTATGTAATTATGTGTTAGTAGTGACAAAAACTAGAAGCACGTATAGCCAAGTGAACATAGTTGCTTTAGAATTGTGGGGTTATGGGAGTTTTTCCTTTTTAAAAAATGGTTGTTTTTTTTTTTTAAAGATTTTATTTATTTATTTGACAGAGAGAGACACAGCAAGAGCAGGAACACAAGCAGGGGGAGTGGGAGAGGGAGAAGCAGGCTTCCCGCGGAGCAGGGAGCCCTATGCGGGGCTCAATCCCAGGACCCTGGGACCATGACCTGAGCCGAAGGCAGTCGCTTAACGACTGAGCCACCCAGGCGCCCTAAAAAATGTTTTTTTGCCGTGTCTATTAAAATATTTCTAGATCTATATATTTAAAACCAGCTAGACTTGTCATCCAAAGGACTATATCGCCATCTTATGGAAGCCTCTAAATATCACAGGGTCCACTTTGATGCAAATAAAGTAATTTTGAAAAAGGAAATACAGCTGTTTCCCTTTGAAGTCACACACTTACGCCATTTCAGGAAATTGAGTTGTTTTTTTAGAGCCAAATTCCATAAATAATCTACACCATCCTCTTCTATTTAACTCAGAAGTGACTGGTAGTAGTCGAATGTAAATGGCCCAGACCAACCTCTGTTAAGGGGTCTAATTGTTCCTTTTTCATTTTTAAAAAACGTGTGTTACAATTATTCCAATAATACAAAGATCACAAGATCATAAAGGTGTCAAATTAAGATAAACTCCGTTTTGTCCTCCAGCTAGAGAAGAACCAAGATAAAAGCAAGCATTCAGGGGCCCCTGGGTGGCTCAGTCGTTAAGCATCTGCCTTCGGCTCAGGTCGTGGTCCCAGGGTCCTGGGATCGAGCCCCGCATCGGGCTCCTTGCTCAGTGGGAAGCCTGCTTCTCCCTTTCCCACCCCACTGCTTGTGTTGTCTCTCTCTGTCAAATAAATAAATAAAATCTTAAAAAAAAAAAGCAAGCATTCATCCTTCCGTAATTTCTTTCTCTAGTTTTGTGTACTTGCTTCTTTCACATGCCGAGTACGTAGGCAACCTTCAACAAATGATTTTGAATAACTGAATAGGCTTTGCTCCCAAATAAGTAGTGAAATAAGTGATGGCACTGTCTCTGTAAGAAAACTGAGATGAGGGACCTGAGGGCTTGCACAAGGAACGCCTATAGTAAGCATTATATTAATATGTTACTTATAAAAATAAAAAGTTACATTTGTTGTCTCAGATGCTAAGCCCACGTCTTGACTAGCGCAAGGCTCCTGCTGTCAAAGTGTGAGCACTCACCCAAAGTGAGGGAGGTTTGTGGCCATGTGCAGTCACCCAATCGTCAGAGTAGCTGAGCATTCCCTCGATATACAGCCCTTCAGGCAACAGATTAAAAAACTGAAAATAGTCACTGCCTCAGACAGATCCATATAAGCCTGCAAATCATAGAGAATAGAGGCAATCCTTCTGTTGAACGTCAAGTTCATGGGGTGAAGGACCCTGGCATTCTGCTGTGATCTCATAAACCTGACCTGCTGACACGGTTCAGGGCAGAGGCACACAGACTGCAAAGGGCTTTGGAGTTAGACCCCCCACCCCCTCAATAGTTCCTTACTTAGTTCCTGATTTCTAGGTTGTTTCTCCTATGCTGGACCTAGATTTCTCCCTCACTCCTGAATTTCTTGATAAAATGTTAGTTTACTGAAAGACCTGCCAGAGGCCGGCTGAGCAATCTGTAGTGGGTGTCCCAGCCTCTGAGCCTCCGCGTCTGTGCAGCGAATCCAAGGGCTGAAACAAGCCCTAACGTCCCTCCCACATTCGACAGTTTAAGGATTTAAACATTACAAGATGATTCCTTGTCAAATATTTTCTACCACATGCCCTACGCATTGTACACTCCATGTATGTCTTCTTCAGCATACGTGGAGGGGCTTGTTTTTAAGCTACGCCTTGTAAATTAGTATTTACATAAATATATAAAAACGTACACACCGAAATTTGTGCCAAATAATCTACCAGCTTCTCTAGAAAGCTCTCTCGAAAAGTCTGCTATTCTGACAAGGTTTTCTACAGCGCCTTCCCTCCTCCCAGGCAGTGTGCAATGTTCCGGCAGAAGACTTTCAAAATCTGCTTTTATCTCCTGTCCACTCTCTTCCTCAAGAATGAATTTTGAACCCAAAACTCTGTAGGATCTGCCTATTTTTGCAAACAATTAAGCAGGATCATCACACACCAAAAATGGAAGAGCGGTCTTTGGACTCTGATGCCTTAAACTGAATTTAAAGAAATTGTTTCCTACTGCACTTACCTGACCCCCAGGGCTGCAGGCTGCACCCAGGTGCTGCACAAACCAGGAATCAAGGGCTAACTAAATAAAATCATGCCTTCCTGCCATACAATTCCCTAGTGGGTTTAGCTGCAAAACAGCAGGAAGGGGAGGGAACAGAGTAAGGCACAAGATGTCTTGGAAGAACTTCAAAAATTGCAGCCACACTTGCTTGAGTCAGGTAGCATCTTCTACTGGTGCCGGTTCAGAAAACTTAGCTCCTTTCCCCCGTCCTTTTTAATAAAGGGAGAGAAAGCATGGTGCACTTTCGAGTAGTCTGGAAGAAGGAATCCACACTGCAGGTGTCTTTCCGGAAAGTGATGTTTATGCCTTTGCTTCAGCAGCTTCCCTGCTGACCTTGGGCCAATTACGGGCCAACAGGACAAAACCGAAGATGAACAGATTATTTGAATTCCTGGACCATTGGAATGGACATCATTTAACTAGATCTCTCAAACTTCTGTGTAGACCCTTTGATTTTAGACACTTGTGTACATTAGAATTTCATGCTCGTCTCTACACACACACACACACACACACACCATCGGCCATTGAGAGAAGCATGGTGCGATGATTTTTTTGCCATATAATCATTCATTTTTAATTTTTCCCGATCAGAGTCTATGAACATGGATCTCAAACTTAAAAATAGCATCAGGAGAACAAATGTACTCAACGCTGTGTTGAGAACCAACTCAGAGAACCTAGTCGGATTGCAGAGGCCACACAGAGAACGGGGTATGAAGGGTGTAGGGCAAGTCCCCCTGAACAGAGGCAACACCCTTTCTACTCACCATGCCTCAAAGTCCTCATCTGGACCGCAGGCAAAGCAGTCCCAACGTCCCAGGGAAGTGGCAGGATTTAATTCGGTGACCGGAGTCAAGGCGGTCTCTCTCCCACCATCCCATGGCAGGCGCACCTCTTGATCCCTGAAGGCACCCAGACACCTTCAGTCCTTTCTCAGAGGGAGGGAGCAGCAGGCTTTGCCCTGCTGACAATTCCTTTCTGCTTTTGCTGTCCCTGCCCTGCCCCATGTCCTCATCTCCAGGCTTCTTCCCTGTTTTCTTCCTCTACCTGGTCACCCTCTGGGGGTGTTCCGAGGTCAATCCCCTCCTTCAGCTGTCTGCTCTCTGCTTCCTTTCCACCTGCCTCTCCCGCGCTCACCTCTCTCTGGAGCTGCACACAGCATTGCACCCACGGGTGGGACCAGACGGTCACACGGGTCCCGCCATCCCAGCTGTTCTTTTCTGAATCCATCAATGGTGTCAGCACCCAGCCATCAACCCCGCCGTCACCCCAAGGCAGAACTTGAGAGCCACATCTCCTCCCAACGGCCTGTGTGACGGGCCATGGCTGGCAGCCTTCACAGCTAGCCTCCCCTCCTTTCCCACTGTCTCTTTGCTGGACACGGTCTCCCAAGTCATCTCCTGCCTCTGGTTTTAAAGCCACCCTTTCCTCTGCCACTGGCCTGAGCTCCAGAGCAAATTTGGGCACAGCTTTCCTTGCCTTCAATTCTCTGCCTACAAAATGAAGTCCCAGCACCTCATCCTGGTTGGCAGGCCCTTTGGGATCCAGCTTCCACCACTGTGGCTTCTCATACACCTCATGGCATGTTGATTCAAGCAACACACGCAGGGGCCCTGCTGTGCTGGGTTAGCCCTCCAGGATGCCTCCTGGGCCACCTTCCTGCCCTGACACCAGATGAGAGGACTCAGCTCCTCGAAGGCCATAGGCCATAACTTGAACACACCCCTAGTGTTGCATAATCCACGCTGAATTTTCATCACACCTTTCTGTGCCTGCCTCCCTCTCTGACCACGTGCTCCTTTGGAGGATTACCCATTTCAGCTTGCCTCCTGAATGCACAGGGCAGGTGGCTGTCATGCAAGGCCCTCTCCCCCTCAGCTCTTCTAGAAAGTTTCACTACCCTCTTTTCACCCCTTCCTCCACAGGGCACCAGCTTGGTCCCTGGAAGCCACCCTGGAGAGGCAGGCTTTCAGGTTCCCAGTGCTCCCCTTCCCCACGCCTAAGCCAACCCTCTCTCCCAGTGCAGCCCAAGGAGGGGGAGCAGATCGGTTTCAGTAGGTGGATGTTGAGAGTAAACAAACAAGCAGTGGGGACTAGGGGCTCCTGGCTTGGCAACTTTCATGGGAATACTTTTCTGATTACAGTCACAGCAAACAATGGGCTATTTACTTAACTTCTCTAGCTGTTAATTAGAGAGGAAATTCGAACGTTCCCTGCCCCCAAAGGGTAAGCAGCAGCCGTCCTGGTGAAGTGGCCTCATCCCCACTGGGTAGCAGCTCTGAAATGCAAAGTGTATATAAAGGCACACGCGGTTCATCTTTGGTCCATCATCAGGAGCAGGAGAGCAAGCAGGCCGTAGCACTCTGGGTTTGGCTTTATCCAACCTGTGGTGACTTTTTCAGGCAAGTGGCTCCTCCCTGTTCCCCTGGGAGCCCTTTCTCCCATACCTATCTAGTGGCTTAGCCTGCTCACCAATGGATGAATTTTTACTGAAAAGAAGTCTATTGATGGGGCGCCTGGGTGGCTCAGTTGGTTAAGCGACTGCCTTCGGCTCAGGTCATGATCCCGGAGTCCCTGGATCGAGTCCCGCATCGGGCTCCCTGCTCGGCGGGGAGTCTGCTTCTCCCTCTGACCCTCCCAACCCTCCCCCCTCTCATGTGCTCTCTCTCTCTCATTCTCTCTGTCTCAAATAAATAAATAAAATCTTTAAAAAAAAAAAAAAGAAGTCTATTGATGTCCAGACAGGAAATGAGCTCTAAATGCCAGAAACCCACCTAACACTTGCTCTCTACTTAAAATATATGCATATATATGTCTTATTTTACTACTCAGATGCATTACTGGAACCAGTTTGGCAAATTAACTTTAATATACAGATACAAAACAACAAATATAGATTCACAACATTTACAAGAAATCATTCAAATAACATTGTAAATAATATATTTTTTTTTTTTACAAAAACTTCATTCAACAGAAATACAGGTCAAGTTATAGCAGTCTTGTACAACATACTTCAGCTGTCAACAGCGAATTCATCAGTTTGGAAGCTGTCACGTGACTTAACATTGTCTTGATGTTGTGTTAAATTCAAGGAAAAGGTTACTAAAAGCCTGCAAAAGAGGTAAGTCAAACACAACCGATGCTAATATTTACAAAAAAGACCAATTACTAAATTACAGAATCTGTTAAAGTATTTTCTAAATACAAATGTCGATGCCTAGGAGATAACTAAGGACAGTAACGTCAAGTGTGTTGTAACTAAAAACATTTGCATCAAATATGTAAGTTTCTGGGTTTTTCCTTTTAAGATCAGATAGTTGCTACTTCTTCTTCTCAAAACTGTTTGATCTCTACTTTCACTGCATGCATCCTGAGAATAACAGCATTAGCCAAGTGGAATTTTAATGAGAACATGTGTACGTTAAGCTTATAGGGACCAATGTTTTTGAGCAGTTTGACCCAGCTGATTTGTGCCCAGAGTCCCTGGCCTGTCAGCCATCAGAAGGACATGTATCCATACTTGTTAGTGCTGTCCTGTGAGGGACACATCTATATCTCCCCTCTTCCATAAAATAACAAGACATCAATTTTCTCCTTAACTCCAAGTAGATCAGGCTGTTCTATTCTGGCTACATAACTAAGTTGATGTGTACTGAGAAATATCAGCCATTTGGGCATGGAGAGTTTTCCAGCAGATAAATGCTGGACCATGGATTTTAGAAAAGATTTCTATTGTGAAACAAAGTTCGAATTAAATGCACTTCTGCTTTGTGTCTAGACAATAGAGGTGTAGGATTGAGGGGATTTTCTGAACAGGCATGGAGTTGGTCTTCATCTGGATTAGGTATAAAAAGGCACAACAATATTCAGAAATAGCATGGAGATGGGGGTGAATTGTTTTCAACGACAAAATCAGATCTACCAGGGAAAAGAGGAGATCTACTGAAAATAAAACTAGGAAGAAGGGACCCCAGGAAAGCTCTGGCACATTGCTGCTAGTCTTTTGCTTACTTGTAGGCCAAAGACGAAGAATGCTATTTCTCTAAGATTTTACAAAAATTCCATTTTATGACTGTTTACGATTTACTGCAAGGTGGTTGTGCATTTTAGGTATGATGAAAATCAAGAAGGTTGCTTTTGACCCAAGGCCATTTCAACTGTCTTCCAACAGATTCTGAAACATAAATAATAAATTAGGTGAGATTTGTCAAAGTGTTTTGCTATCTTTGTGAGACAGAGAGAGAGAGAGAGAGAGTGTGTGTGTGTGTGTGTGTGTTGTGGGGACATCCATATTATGCAATATGGGGTTAGAGTGAGGAAAAAGAAGGGAGAAAGCAAGATTCCCAATGAAATCCATACAAAATCCATTTGGGAGCTCTTGGTTTCTCTCGTCTTCTTACCAAGTGGAACACAGGACTTACATCAAGAAGGAAAGTGGGGCAAACCTAAAATTCGAATACTTGAGCCACTATTCTTTACTGAACTCATGCATTTGGTAATAAACTCAAGCTACATAGATTTTAAACAATTTCTCATTTTTCAAAATCACCAGTAAAGGCCAAGCAGGACCCATTCAGGGTGGGTACTGTATCAACTGACTCTTCACACCGCACCAAGCTCACGGGGGCGGCGCCGGGCCCCAGCTTTCTGCTTCTGCTGGAGAGTCCCCGGAGGGACAGGGGGCAACCGGAAGTTTGGGCTCAGGTGGGAAATACAGCGGGACTTGTCACAGAACTGAAAGCACTTCACTGCGCATTAGGAAACATTAGTAAATGGGAGCCCATTAAGTTCTTTACTTGAATTGAACCCTCACTGAAAATGTAACATAAGCAAATGGTTCTCTTTTCTTCCCTAATTTTCTTACTATTAAAAAAAATAAAAACTATTCAAAATTGTTGTATATACAAACAACTCTGTTCAGCACAGAGACTCCTAGAGTTATTATTGCTGAGGGGTCCACAAAAAGCATTTTAAGTGTAGTTTTCAAAATAGATCATTACATCTTCTTAATAAAAGGTCAGTTATATAAATGCAACTAAAATCGAGAGGTCTAGCCAAAAAGAAACAACACGTGCGTGCACACACACACACACACGTGTGCGCGCTCATACGCTCGGAGCCACAGTACCTCCTGGGAAGCTTCCTCACAGAAGCAACCTCTATCCTGGGACACTGGGTATCACGGTCCAGAGAAGCCGCCCCGGGGTCAGTGACCCCAGGGCAGCACAACCTTGCAGCCATCCTACGTACAAGGGAGCAATCACTGAGGCTGACCAGAAAACATTTCCAGTTAGTGCTCTAAGGCCCACTCCGACGTCCAGGATTAGGTCTTCTTGATGCGTGATGTCACCTCCTTCGGGACCGGTCCTGGGCAGGGAGGAAGGTGGGGAGGGAAGGAGGGACCAGACGTTTGGAGGCACATGTTCTACCTTTGTCTAGGATGTTACGGGTTTGTTTACGCTCCAGCACAGGCCTACTGGAAAATGGGACTTTCTGAGAGTAGTGTATGAGAAGGGGATTCTCACATAGAAAACCAAAGTGTGGACTACGATACCCCCATCCAGTGCACTAAGTACATTTAAATGGCCCTTCCCTTGCAGAACCTGTCTTCTCCAGACATATTTAAAAGTTATTTTCATCAACATTTACAATATAGACAAAGAGAAGGAGATTACTGTCATCACGTATCAGCCCACGTGGCCTTCATTAAAAAGACAGCCATGTCTGAGTCTAGATGTACTGTTGTTAAGGTCTCTTAATAGAGAAAGAACCTTCAGAACCCTCCTGACAGGTTAATAAGGGCTGGGTTAGCACTACCATTTGGGGTTTATGCAACAAAGTCGGCTTCGAATCCTGAGGAAGGTGGGCTACTGGGAACCGCATGTTTTCTGGGTGGAATGTTCAAGTCACTGTAACTTAACTGGTGGGGACGCCAGAAACAACAGGTGGGGAGAACGCACTGACGCTCTGAACATGCCTTTCCACAGGCGCGTGTGCATATCTCGCTTACCAGAAAATTAAGTAAATGGGTTTTTATATTGCAAACGGATAGGTCTGATTAGTTCCTTAGGTCATGACGTGTAAGCAGGTGTGATTTCTGTCTGGAGAGTCACATGCTGCACACACACCGCGGCAGGGGACCTGACTCGAGAAGGACAGTCCACCCCATGGTAGGGTTTTGCACTTTCTCCCTGGAAAGCAGCTGCCTCCTCAGGATGCTGAAGGCGCCCGGCCCGTGTTCCACGGGAGGGATTCATTGCGCCTCTCCCTCTAGCCTGTCGGGGACGCACCTCGCCAGAGGAAGCTGGCACTACCACTTGGTAACAATTCAGGGGACACCAGGGGACGCCACGGCCATCTGCTCTGCAGCGCTACGTTGCCTAATACTGTGGAAGACAGCTACAGCTTGCCCGTGCTGGCGAGACGCTACTGTACCAACCCCATCACGACTGTCCCCTGGGAATCCACATGCCAAAGTGGCACTGTAATCGAGGCCCTCCTCAGGAACAGCAGCAGGGAGCGCGCCCATCATCAGCGATGCCCACTGGGGTCACAGCTCAGCTTCACTGCAGAGCAGGTCACGGGCTCCCGCGGCCCAGCCACCTTGGCACAGGTCCCAGAGGGGTCTCGTGGACGTCAGGGCCATGCGTCATGACCTCCATCTCCCTTCCAAGGAGCTGGGTCTTCAGAGGCACCTCGGTCACGTCCAAGACCTTCTATTCTTCACCCATCCCCAAAGGAAGTTTTCAGCACTGGGTTGAACACACAGAAATGGTTCTCCTCTTTACAGACACCTCAGCCAACGCATGGCCTCCCGTTTTCATTTCTTGAAAGGGGTGAGTTTGTTGAACGTGTGCCAGAAGAGCGACGGCTTCCTCTTGGGCTCGGCCAGGGCAAACACCTGCTGCTGGGGGACGCTGGTGGGCACGGTGACGTGGCGCTGGTGAAGGGGGTGCAGGCTCTGGTGCGGCGGGGCCACGGGGCATCCGCTGTAGCCTAACTCGAGAGGGGAGAAGGGTGGAACATGGACCCAGCGTCACTCGTTAGCCGAAAAGGAAGACTTGATTCTTAACTTGATCTTTAATTCATATGAACGCAAAGTATATCTAGAAGCCATCATAACAGCACCTACCAGTTGCTGTGAGAATGAAGGGAGCTAGGAACGCGCTGAGAATGCTTAATCGAAACGGTTTCATTGGAATAGGCATTTTAAATCTGCGCAGAGGTAATGAGAAAGGCCTAGCACAATGAGCTCCAGGATCACAAACTAACCGTCAAAGTCAGAGTGACAGGAGGAAGGAGCGTGCTCTTAGAAGGAGCCAGGACTCAGTTCAGAAGGCATCCTGGCCCTGATCTGCCACAAGGCTCTCCCGGCCTTCCTCGGTGAGAGGTGCCTGGCAGGGGACCACCCACCACCACCCACGTTCTTTCCATTTCGGTGCCTAGTTGCTGAGCCAGTGACTCCTGGAAAATGCGGACACCAACTACTACAGTCTAACAAATGGATATTTACTGGTCACCTGCCATTGAAGTGGAGATTCAAAAAAAGAACAAGACAGGGTTTTTTTCTCTTCAAAGGTATTTATCACTTTGTGGTGGGGGGGTGGGCGGAATTCTGCCTTTGAGCGGAGCGAACAGGGAAATGGGAATGCTAAGGGTTGTTTTGGTAATGAATTCTTCTTGGCCCTCAGCTGATGGCACATCACCATCCTGGGCTTAATTGCGTCTTCCTTTTGCACTTTCAGTTACGAAAATCCTGAATGGGACATATTTCAGAGGATAAATTGTTCTTAAGAGCAGGAAGTCAATCTGAAAAAAAGGTTCTAAGAATATAACAAATATTTTTGGAATAAAAATCCTTATTATTTTATTCCTGTTGGGTGACATCATGTGTATTATCGGCACTGTAAAAAAATCTTTGCACATCAGGACGATGGGGCATGACCTGAGTATTGGTCATCTTCAGTAGCTGCTCAGGCAATTCTAATGTGCACGGAGGGTAGGGAGTCCTTGCTCTAAATAAGCTATGCCCAGGGTGATGGGCATTAAGGAGGGCATGTGATGTAATGAGCACTGGGTCTTCTTTTCAGCTCATTTCTCGATGTACTGGA